GGTTGTTGTCAGTCACCGCGGTCAGTCGGTCGCCATACAGGTACTCTCTGAACTTAGTCGTTACCGCCCAGTGTAGTGCCTTGAACTCTAGTTTGTGAGCGGGGTACTTTGTCTCTGCTTCTGTTAAGGTGCGACTTGCGTATGCAATGACCCTTTCTTTGCCGTCTCGTTCTTGAGTCAGGACAGCTCCCAGACCATCAAGGGATGCATCTGTCTGCACGGTGAATGGTACGCTATAATCTGCAAAAGCTAGTATCGGTGCAGAGGCCAACTTTGAAACCAGGGTGGTGAACGCTGTTTGGCACTCATTACTCCATTTGAAGGGGGGGGTCTCTCGAACCACACTTGCCTCCAATCAATGCGAAGCTAGGAGCAGCAGTTTTCGCATACCCTTGAACGAACCTCCGGTAATAGCCAGTGAGCCCAAGGAAGCTGCGAACATCCTTCTTGCTTTGTGGAACGGGCCAGCTCTTCACTGCAGCAACCTTTGCCGGATCAGTGGCGATTCCCTCTGCAGAGACTACATGGCCAAGGTACTGCACTTCTCTCTTAAAAAGCTGGCATTTTGACGGCTTCAGTTTCAGCCAGTGTTCCCGCAGCCTTGCTAGGACTCTCCCTAGGCGTTCTACGTGCTCCTCCACAGTGCTACTGAAGACGATGATGTCGTCGAGGTAAATTAGCACACTTTCAAACTCCATGTCGCCAAACACCACCGACATCAGCCTTTGGAACGTGGCCGGTGCATTCACGAGGCCGAATGGCATCCTCGTAAATTCAAACAAGCCCATCGGGGACGTGAAGGCCCTCTTCGGTTGATCCTTAGATGCCATCTTCACTTGGTGGTAGCCCGAGGTCAGGTCAAAGCAGGAGAAGTACTTGGCCTTCCCAAGAGCATCCAAAGCCTCGTCTATTCTTGGGAGGGGAAACGCATCTGTCGTTGTCCTGGAATTAAGCTTCCGGTAATCGACGCAAAGTCGAATTTTGCCATCCTTCTTCTGCACAATGACAACCGGAGAAGCGTACGGGCTCTGACTGGGCTGGATGACCCCGGCTTGTTTCAGCTCTTCCAAGTGGCCTCGGACCTCCTGAAACTGTGAAGGGGGACTCGTCTGTATGGTAGTCGGAAGGGGGTTGGGTCGGTGAGTGGGATTTCGTGCTCCACTGTGCTGGTAACACCCATGTCGAAAGGGCTCTGCGAGAAAACATCAGCATTCTGTCTGAGTAGCTGCTCAATTGCCTCCGTTTGCGATGGGGTGAAGTCGACACCTTCGAAGTTCACGTCTGGCAAACTGCAAGAGCCACCTACCGCTTGCTCCATAATAGCCACATCTTGAGAGGGCGTGGTCACTGGCTGGACTTCGGTAACACAACAGAGCGTCGCCACCCCTTCATGTCGTCTTACCCTCACAGCATGGTCAGATGTGTTGCACAGCCGAACTGGTACTCTCCGACCTGTTACATCCACCAACATCTTCCCTGCAACTAGGCCCTTGCGGTTGGTGCCCTCTACTAACGCAGTGAAGCTTCTCCCTCTGGTGTGGTTGGGTACTCTAGCTGGAACAGTAGCTTCTGCACCAGGTTGTATTACTAATGGACGTCTCCCAACATAGCGCAGAAACCCAATTTGTCCATCCTCGCCGGCGAGGTCAGCCCCATCCCCATTAACGAACTGGAAGGCCTGAAGCCAGGACTGTGACAGCACTTTACTCTCCATGAAGCGCTTTCCCAAAGACGACTTCATTTGATCTCTACATGCACGAATCACATTGGTTCCAACGAGGGCTGGGGTGTCTCGCCGAAACTCGGTTTGTGGCACCACAAACGCTGGGACTTTGCCTATAAACTGACCCATGGCGTGAACATCTACTGTGATGACCCCGAAGTGTTGAACTGGCTGTCCTCCAGCTCCCTTGATGGACATCTCTGTTGGTCGTGGCCTCTGGCTGCTAAGTACCGGATGCTGCTTGACAAATTCACAGGTAATTGTGGTCACCTGGGACCCAGTGTCCAGCAGTGCTGTACAGTTGACTCCAGAAACCTTGACTTCAACTCGGTTAACTGGTCCAGCCAATGGTAACTGTGCGGATTCATGGTCATTTGTAGAGAGAGTTGGGGAGGGGCGTTTGAACTCAGAACCCGCGGATAGCCCTACATCCGTGGGTTGTTCCCGTTTAACGACCCACTGTGGTGAACTGGTGTTGAGGCTGCCTGTCGAGGAATGAACGACTTCATCTGGGGAGCTTGCTGGTGTGCTTGGCGCTGATTCTCTGGACAGCTCCTTGCCAGGTGCTGCTTGCTTCCACACGTGTAGCAGCCTGAGAATTGGGGTCGCTGCTGCGGCTGGCCAGACTGGTGGTACCGCTGGTGCACTTGAGGTGCAAAGACAGCCTCTTCCAGCTGTGTCAGACGATGGTTCAGCAGGCTCTGATCCTTCTGCACTTGTTGAAGGGTCTCCCTCTGCTCTAGACGCATAGCCTGCATCTCCTCCAGTTGTTTGGTGATAAGATCTTGCAGATCAGTCCCACCTTGCATCTTCCTTGTCGATTCTGACGAAGACTTGCTCTTCGGTCCTTGTTGCGCAGGGCTGCTGGCCGCCGTGGTTGGTTTTATAGGGTCTTTGGTGGCCACCTCACTCATGGTATAGAAGTGATGGTCATCGTCACCCCTCATCCTTCGTCTCGTCTGTTCGTCGCTGTGGTGTTGCTCCTCTGCTATAACACGCAGCTCAGCTCTGAGGTCTCTATAGCTCATTCTCCTTGGCTGCATCGGGGCAAGTCTCTGCTTCGTCCTACCATCCCGCAGACCGGCCATGAATTGAGTGGTTAAGAGGACGTCTCTGCTGTCCCCAAACAGGCTGCGGCGACCCTGCTGTCGGCCGCGCTCCTCAATCCTTCGCAGGAGAGTCTCTAGCGCCACGGCAAACTCACTGGCCGTCTCGCCTGTCTTCTGTTCTCTTGAATAAAACCGCGTCATAGGCGACGTGACAAAGCCGTCTTCCCCAAACTCTTCCAGCAGTTCCTGGAAGGCCTCCTCTGCCGTCACTCCTGCTAGTGACCTGCCCTCCAGGTTTAGGATGACGTCACGAGCTCGTCCGCTTGTGTGGCGCAAAATCTCCTGAAACTTGACGCCATCTGTGGCCAGACCCTTGGCTCCAAGCA